TCTTCTGCATAGGCTTCTTGGGCCCTGCAGGTCTCGGGCCTCGGAGTATGCCCCATTGCCCGGCTTATTCTTACGGCCCACTACTATGGGTCCTGGGAGCCTTGTATAAAGGTTGTTAGGTTAAGCGGTTGTTTTTGGTAGTCGGTTAAATTATAAAAATAAGATGGTTATCTGTTTTTAATTCTCTAATCTATGTAGAAGTTTTCTTGGATAAGGTTGCCCGTCCGGGGTCTGAGTGTGTAGCGGCGCAAAGTTGTTCAGATGCGGGTGTGGCCCGTTGTCTGCGCGGTTGAACAAGCCGCGCGCCAACCGGACCACAAATTCTTCGATGGTTTCTACGTTGAGATTGGCCGCTATAACGTCATTCTGGACGTAACGACCTGCTCCGACAATGGTTCGTAGTGCTAGGTTCTGCTGGGCCTGCAGTCGCCGCCTCTGCGGATCGCTCAGAAGTGCGTACCAGGTCGGTGCTACATAGGTAATTAGTGGTCTTATGTATATAACTTATAAATTTTGGTTTTTGTCTTAATCGGTAACTTGGATGCCAGGACTCGACGGAGCATCGCCAGCGCACACCTGGCTTTGCGGATGACGAAGTCGACGTGTGCGGACATGCGCAGCATTCTGTCGATTTGGCACCCAAGGTAGGTCACGGCCTTCTCGTACGCGATCTTCTGGCCTGTGAGCGTCAATGGTGGTGGTAGATTTCTCAGGCGGCGAGTAAGCAAAGCGGTTGTCTTGCCAACATTGATGACCATCCTCCACTCATCCAGCCATGGTGACAGCAGATCCAGCAGACGCTGCATTCTGACAGTGGCGAAATAGGCTCTTCTGGACGAGGTGAAATAGGCGCTATCGTCCGCATATAACGCCAGCTCCACGACATCCTCCCACTCACGCAGCTGTCCTGCCAGTGTTGGGATGTCATTGGTATAAACCGCGTACAGCACTGGAGACAAACAGCTGGCCTGTGGAACGCCGGTTCTGTTGGATCTTGTTGCGGATTCGGCATCGTCTATGCAGACTTAGAACTTCCTGTCTGCGAGGAATGACACCACTAGCCGCAACATAGCAGGAGTGATACTGGCCGGTTCTTCCAATTTATTGAGTAATCCAGAATGCCACACCCTGTCGAACGCCTTCTCTATGTCGAGAAAGATGCCCGATGAAATACCTACGGCCGCGGGCTGTCTGCCTTCCCTTTCCTCTGATGTTGGTCCACCCCTCTTTCTGGACTATGACTCTAGGGCGACTTTGAGGGACCCTCTTTGGATCTTTCGGTAGTAGGCCCAGCAGAGTGATCCTCTGCTTCCTCGCAATCCTCCTCAGGACTGGGCAGTGGCGATTGCTTGCGGTATGATTCTTGGCGCAATTAGCGCATCTGGGTTTCTCCTCTCTACCCCTAGGGCAGTTGCTTGCTATATGGTCCCCGGCACGACACACTGCACTGGCCTGAAGCAGCACCATGTCAGATGCATGGCCAAAGGCCTGGCAGCGATGGCATTGTGCCGGACACGGTGGTCCTTACCAGGCCTCTATGACTACTTCTTTTATAAAAAGGAGTTCGTCGACTTGATACAGTTGGTTGAGGCGCTCCAGGCTCAGGTGGTCCAGCTGCATGAAGTAGAGGCACCCAGGTCTGCATCTACGGGGGGGGGGTACGAGGGGATCCACAGAAAAACCCAACCGCCGATCAGCCCACCTGGCATTCATGATCAGAAGTAGCGCAAATCTATACTGTCTATCGCAGCGGAAGAAATATATGTTCATATTAATTATATATCTGCTAGCACAGTTGTTTCCATAAACTTACTTTATAAAATGACCTTCCAGAAATATAATATAACATAACAACGTAGTAGGTACGTTGCTAAAATAAATGACAACTAGTGGTCGTCCAGAGGTCGAATTTCTATTGTAATTCATTTAAATTCTTAAGTTTTTACATTCAGCAAGCTATATTTCACTTTCAACTCTTAGTACATGATATATGAATTATCTTTCTTTCAACTGCACATTAATGTATATTTATACAGATATGTGTAATATACAAAATATAAAATGAACGCTTTTTTCTTTGACATTCACTCCACAGACTATTAAAAAAAGAACATTACAAATCATGCAGCTTATTAGTCAATCTGTCAGCGATTTTTTTTTGGCAACATTCTCTACTCTGTGCGACTGTTTGATCTTAGACTATTGTGTTTAACAGTTACATTGACAGTATGAACATAAATAATGAATGTATTATTTTATTTTATTTAATGTATTAATTTATAACATATTTTTAAATCATATTAGCGTTGTAGGGTCGCCCCCTACTTCGCCCTTCTGCCGGACGTGCTTAGTTTTCTTTTATAAATTTTTAAAAATGTCATTTTGAGGTTATTTTTTTTTGTTTCGTAATTTTTTTGACAATTTTTACCTGATTTATGGGGAGAGAGAATTGGGGGATGGAAGCCCCACGCCACTCAACGTGGTGTAGGGAAGCCCGGGAGCTCCTACTTCTGAGTGGTTTATAAAAAAATAACCACGAAGGACTTCTAACCTAACCTGTCCGAGCCGGAGTGCCCCACGTCCAAAGCTCGCTTCGCTCGCAATTGCACTCAATATTACACCAAAATATTCACTTTTATAATTAGGTAATTTAATTTATAAACATAATTTATGGCTCCCACCATTTGTAATAAAGGATCTTTGCGTTATTTTGCAGTATTCCGCCGCCACAAATATTCCACTATGGTATAGCATCACCAAAATTCTGAAACTGAATGCTTTGATTATATAGTTACATGTCTATAATCAAAGTCTCAAAGTCTGAATGACGTAAAGTATGTCCGTCACTGTCAACAAAATGGCTGGCCTAGCGATTCATTGTACACACTTTTAAATCGATTCAAATCGAAATTAGATGAATCGATTCACGAAAAAATCGAAGTCTTTATGATCGATTTCTCAAAAATCGATTTTTTTTTTATTTGCGTTAGGAGTTTATTATTTACAATATCAAAAGATACCACAAAGTACAGATAACATTGAATGATTGAATTGAAAAACTGTCATTCTTTACGAGTTGGGGACTTGGGGTACCTACATTCAACTAATTGTAAATAATTTTGTAGTTCTTAATAAAACGGAAAAAGATTCGATCTCAATTCTCTAAGGTGAAATATCGATTCACTAGACCGATTCAGTACTATATATCGATATGATATTGACAGATGCAACGTCAAAAACGTGAGAATATATATTTATTTAGTCATTTACCAATATTTTATAAAAAATAATTCGACGCTGCTCCGGCAGCAAAAATCGCGTGGGGGTGCTTCAGATAAACCCCCCTTGACCCTCCCACAGTGACAGAATCCTCAAATTCAGGCGACTTAATTGTAAACCCAACCCAGTAAATATATACAAGAAGTGCAACAAAAAATTTATGCAATAAATAAATAAGTGTAATTATGAAAATAAATACTTTAAAAATAATAATTTCGTGCAATCTTTCATTCTCCGTTCATATTAAATTGAATTCCTTGGGGGAGGTCTATGTTCAGCAGTGGACTTGTTTTCACAATACTGTATGGATGATGATGATTAATATGAGTTTATTTGTCTCACATTACTAATGTGTGTAGGTATACATTACTTCATTTATTATCAATTACGTTCTGTGAATATGAATAGTCAAGCGTATCAGCCATTTCTAGCTATAAAAATATTGGCGTAAGTGTTTACTTTTCTCAGAACTAGCGAACGCAAATAAAACTCAATCAATATAACGACAATTTCTGCGTATAGCAGTCGACCTCTTAGACGTTTTCACACTTCAATGACTGCTAAACATAACTACTTGTATTCTTTGACTATATACCTGTCTATATAATCAAAGCTTGTATTAATCATACGTTTTCGTTCAAAGAGCAATACTCCTATAACTAGAATATTATTACTGTATATATGAATAGTGATAAAGTAACTGATGGTTGCAATATTTAAAAAAAATAAAAGAGCGGTAATTTGTAAGCGGTCCGCTTGCTTTAAGAGTTATTGTCGGCAAAAACAATGGGCAACGACCGGGCCCACTATGGTGTAACGCAACTTGTTTTGCCAACTTAGTCATCACTTCAAGTGTTTTGAAAGAAAGGTACCCTCGTTTCTCGCTTGTAAACAACGTCGCGTCATTCCTTTTACAAAATGTGAATAAACATAGTTTCTTTCCGCTTGCTATTTTTGAACAAATTGCACACACATTCAGTTAATTTAAAAAATGAATTGGTGGTATAGTTAAATTATAAAATCGTTTTTTTTAAGGTCGTGGGTAATACCCATATCCTTAAAAAAAAAAACGATTTTATATATATATGAGCGCCGATGGCCAATTCCACGGCGGCGGCGGTGGCCTGATAATTTCCACAGCGGCGGCAGTTAAACATTTTTATGCACCGATTATTTATCAAATTAGTTATACTAATTCCGGAAGAATTTTGTGGTCACAGTACAAATCCACGACTGAGTTCAAATTTTATTGAATGACAGAATTAGTAATAATACAAATAAAACTGCACTCTTAAAAGTCTTATTGCCTTAAGTTACGGTCCATTTCAGTTTGTTTTTCTGTACAGATTTAGTGTGACAGTAATTTACTTAGTTTTAATTATTTTTGGGATAAAAAATTACCTATATTAAAAATGATAGGAATCGATTCAGTAAACGATTCTGAACAAACTACTTTCTCAAAGTGCATTAACGTAATTACGTTACATATTGTATATATATAATCATTGATCGAAGAGTATAATGTATTTATAATTAGTTAGATAATTTCACATGTTCTTTCAGATACATTTACAGATAAAATAATCATTTAAGTGAGTTTTGTTGGCACTTGATACTTTTAAGGCTCAATCAAATACAGAAAAAAATATATCAAAATAACAATAACAATAGCACAAAAACATCAAAATGGAAATATGCATGCCAATGTCCAAATACACCGTCTATTCCTTTAAGGATTCTTTGCAAAATACATAATTGTCATGGATAAATACTATCCTATTTAGCCTCAAAGGATTTAGTCGTGAACGTTTTGCGGTTATCACGAGTCCAGCTGTGGGAAATACTATCTCGCTCGGCATGCTGGTGGCTGGTATATTTAAAATTGAGCGTGCAAGAGTATACAGTGATGGCACACAAGTTTTCCTATCTTTGCAGTACTGTAGAACGTCTCCACCGTAAGGCTCTAAATCTTCAGGACATGCTGTGCTGAAATATTTCCAGCTTTCATTTTCTACAGCACTCCCGGAATCACGTTGAGTGGTGCTGTGTTTTCGCGCCAAATCCAGTAAAAAGTTTGAAAAACTAGCAGAAGAAGTCGGTCCAGCTTTAGCGGAATCAATGACTTCATTTTGACGAATATCTTCGGTTGTTAAGTGACTTCTGACCATTGTTGATAGGAATGAAACCAAATGAAAAAAAGAGAAGTCACTAAACTTCTCTTTTTTGCATAAATTCATCAATTTCATGAATGGCATCAAATCTACAATCAAGCAAAGTTGCCGCAACGACCACATAGGTTAAAGGAAATCGGGATTCCAAACCCTCAAGCATGTTATGTTTACGAGAGGCTCATCATCATTCGCTTCTTCAAGCAATCTTTTCACTTCTGACCGAAACACTAGAATCATATTCATAGTAGGTTGGGTTTCTGAACTTAGAATATCAACGAATTTCTTAAAATTCTCTAGAAACTTTATCAGAGCCAGAATGGTTTCGTATTCGGTATCTTGTAATACGAGTTCACCTCGTCCTAATTCGTTAAGAAGTGTGTTTATAGGCTGTCGATTTGCGTCAACTTGTGTTTGTGCTCGTTTTAATAGTCGGAAGGAGCTGCAAACACTGTTTAGAACTTGAATCTCTTTCAGGTGTCTCAGTTGTTTCGGATTCAGAGTCGGTTGAGTCGGCATTTTCCAGATGTTCGGCGAATTCTTCAAATTCTTCAATGGCGAACTAAAGGTGCCACGGCCCGCCAGGCGACAGGCCGCGCCAGGCGTTCCACCGCCTGTATAGGCCTGTCGTGGCCCCTACTGAGCGTTCCCACGGCGAGTGCTGGCCTTGTGCGGCCTGTTGACTGACATTCCAACATGTTAGGCGATACGGAGCGCACGGTTGCGTATGCAGTCGCTGTGGTTTTATTCAGTGGTGAAATTTTGTTAAATCAAGCAAAAAGAAAGCAGAAGAAACGACAACGCTGGTGGGTGTCGTCATTCAACAAGAGCCGATCAAGGTTGGTACCTAATTTTGACTAGCTATTGTATACCCGATTATTTTTGAACAATAGAAACATTACATTTTCTTAATTACTTACAGATATATTGCAACTGATATGCTGAGTGATTTTGTACGGGAACCTAGCGGAACATTTGGAAATTTTTGCAGAATGTCTTCAGATGATTTCACGTTCCTTCTTAATAAGATTGGCCCTCATATCTCAAAGATTGATACGAACATGAGACAGTGCATTTCAATTCAAGAACGATTTGCTATTGCACTTATATTTCTAGCTATTGGAGATAGTTACAAAAGCCTCTCATACTTATTTAAGGTTTTAAAACAAACAGTCTCAAGAAGTGTTGACGACGTCTGCAAAGCCATAGTACAAGAATTAAAGGAAGAAGTAAAAGTAAGTTGCTGTGTTCATAATAATATTTATTTTAAGAAACTAGGTACATTCATTTTGAGTCACATAAAACTCTTTTAATGTTGTTGTATCTGAAGCCATATTAGTACTTGGCGTTTGTTATGCATTACAATTAATTTGAGTGTTTGGTGCTTGTGAGGAAGTGTGTGGTGATGGTAATGATTGTGAATAATTGGGACTCTGGTAGGCCGGCGACTGCGATGCAGACGATGGTTGAGGATGGAATGGAGCTGGAAAACTTGGTGAATTCTGTGCAGACTGGGTACTCGGCGAATGTTGTGAAAGAGGAATAATTTGAGTGTATGGTGTCTGTAATGAAATATGTGGTAATAATTGTAAATAATTGTGGCTATAGTAGGCCGGTGACTGGGATGCAGAAGATGATGAATCCTGTGGCGATTGATAGGGGCTCTGGTTCAAGGATCGCATAGGCCTGATGGTAATTGTTTCAGTGTGATAATCTGGTTGTTGAAATTGTTCTTTTTTTTTGTCGTTTCAGATGAAACACCAATTATCTATTTCTGCTAGCTAATTCTCGTGTGTGTTCCTGTAGACCCCTCAATTTTTCTGCTAATAAATCACAATACAAAGAAGATACATCTTTTCGCGGCATTTGGCTTATTTGTTGCAAGCTATTGTATGCTTCGTCCATCCGATTTTGAGTTTCATTTAGTTTATTTTTTTTCTTGGGGATTATTTTTGGAGTTTTGAATGCAATGTCCTGTTCTTCATTACTTTCAAAATTTTGGTATGATTCATTACATTCGTCCTTACTATCATCTTCACTCTCATCTGATATCTGAAATTAATCGAGAACTAAGTATTATTATTATGAGGCTTTTTTGTGCACCTTACTATTAACATTAACCTACAATTAACATTTTTAGTTTACAGTTGCCACGGTCATCAGATGAATGGTTGGAGGTCGCAAAAGAATTTTACCGCAAGTGGAACTTTCCTCATTGCCTAGGGGCATTAGACGGAAAGCATGTCGTGATACAAAGTCCTATTCACAGTGGTTCAGAAACTATAAGGGAAAATTCAGCATCGTACTTTTAGCTTTGGTTGACGCTGACTACAATTTCAAATTTATTGATTGTGGTTGCCAGGGAAAAATAAGCGATGGAGGTGTGTACAGAAACACGGAGTTCTACAAAAAATATGTCGTTCTGAATTGGATTTACCACAACTAGATGTTTTACCATTAAAAGAAGAAAAGATATTATAATAAGATATATTGTGAAGCTGTAAATTTTCATACAAAACGCGATAACGTTTTCCCACCAGTAAACATAGTCTAATTTTCACAATTTTTGGAAATGTTGTAGATATAAAAAAAATAGGTCCGTACGTTTTAATTTTAAAGAAATATTACGTACAATATAAGTTATTAGCATCTAAATATCTATATATTTGACTTAAAAACTTTCTTGAGCGTTTTTATTATTCTTAATTAAACTAAACTGATTTACTAAAAAAGAAAAACGTACAGACCTAGACTAAGGTGTATTGAATCTAATGAGACATTAATCTTATGACACAAAATTATCTCATTTCGTAAAGGTTTAGGGGGGTAAAAATGTTATCGCCCGAAACAATAATATTTCAATAAAGAAATGTAGGCGATTGCTTCCAAGACTCGCATCTCTCTCTATCGCACGATACAGGTCGGGAGGCAGGGGCACACGCTTACTGCTGTAGTTGTGGTTTGTTGTTATCATATGTCGGAGATTTTATCGATATACATATATATGTATAGATTTGACGGCTACGTGGCGCAGTAGCTCAGCAATGAGTTATAGCGCTGAGGGCCGCGGGTTCGAATCCCGCACGGCACAAGTATTTGTATGGCCTACAAGTAATTGTTCCGGATCTGGATGTTTCCTTGTGTCCTTGTGCAATTTATGTATGTAAAAACTGCCTAAACGATACAGGAAAAAGTCCTAGTGTGGGGGTAACTAAAAAAATAATAATTATAAAAGATATTATTATAGCCTAGGGAGAAGAAAGTAATACCGAAAACCTACACAAATAATAATTCTTATGAAAAAAGAATATCTGTGAATAACTTCATTAGCTATTTAGTGTTTTCATTTTAGAGTCTTTATTGAATAAGGTCTGTAACTTAAAAAGATTTCGAGATTACACTTAATTAGGTAGGTGAATAAATAAAAAAGTAACAACTTGTGGAAATTATTTTTTTATTACTACATATTACTTTATTACACTCTTGCCTTGCTTACGCTGCCATATTTCTAGGTACTTGAGGGTCAATCAGGTTTGGTAATAAACACAGAAAATAAAATGAGTTACGTTTTGGCTGCATTTTTTCTGTCCAAAACTGGTCATAGTACTTAATTTTTTCATACGCTAAAAAATGTAGCGTCCATACTACGAAAAAACAAAATTGCCTACCAGTGATATGTAATTTTCCCTGGATCTGATAATAGTAATCTTGACTTCTTTTTAAAAGCATCTGTCCTTCTCGTATCAAACAAAATTTGATCTTTTTTCAGTTATGACCTCGAGAGCGTCGCTTACTGCTGTTATTGTAGTGTGCGTGAGAATTTGTTTATAATATGCATTGATCACTAATATTAAACTTAGTGATCGATGATAATATGTTATATATGAGTTTGTCACGCCCGGAGGGAGGCAAAGCGAGCGTTATGAAACAGATAGAATTTTTGGAAATACCTACTGGCATCGCGTACTGGCACTTCACAATCGTCTTATGTCGCCTCTACACGTTGGCCAACACAGTGGCGAATGGAGTGGCGAATATATTGGCCGAGAGTTGGTGACGGCGTCCACACGTTGGAAGGTCGTTCAGTTTACTTCGGTTCGGGCCAATGTGCGGACGAATTTATAAGCACCGTGGCGCAGTGGCTCAGCAATGAGTGGCTGCACCGGGCGCCGCGGGTTTGATCCCGCACGGAACAAGTATTTGTATGTCCTAAAAATAATTGTTTCGGGTCTGGATGTGTGTCCTTGTGCAATTTATGTTTGTAAACTGCCTGCGCGATACGGGAGAAAATCCTAGTGTGGGGTTAACGTTTTTATAAAAGAATTATAAAATAATAGTAGATATTAATGAGGTTGTAAATAGATATACGATATACGATTAGCTTTATTTATTCTTTACATGCATCATAAACTGGAATAAATACCATTAATAAGAACTTAACTTATTTTAAAGTTAAAGGAGTTATAATCGATTAGTCTATGTTTTAAAATTGGGTTTTGATTCTAAAGTTTAGCAAAATATGTACTTGCATTTCTATCAGACATTTGATGTATTAAAACACCTTATAATTTATTTGGTAATTTAATTATTTTTTGAGAAAGACAAAAAAAAATAGCAATAAATATAATTAACACTGACTTAATAATTGGTACTAATTATAAATTAGAACATAAATGAAAAACTCATGACAAGGAAAGTGGCTCAGGACCATGCTTTGCGGCAGTCTATGGGGGAGGATGTTCAGTAGTGGACTTGTGAAGAGCTGTAATGATGATGATGATTCGAAAACTTGCACGATTAAATTATAAGAAATCGACGCTTTTTTATATAGGATAGGGTGACAAACGAGCACACAGTCCACCTGATGGTAAGTGGTTGCTGTGGCCCACAGACATCTACATCTATCTTCGATTATGAATCAAAATGCAGATGCGTTGTCACCCGTGAGGACTAAGATGAAATGCCTCGTTTTCTTTAAAAAGTGTCTCCGGTTCTCTACACTCACTATACGAAACACAGCATCATTAAGCTACTATTTTACATTGATATTCTGTGAGAGCGTGGTCCTTCCCCGGTCGAACCGACCCATTCCTGCTACAACTATACTTCTAATATAACTACATGGTTCTACCACGTAATATATAAACAACGTGCTTCATTTTTTTTTTATTTTAAAATTGTTCTCTTAATAATCTGATTTCAAATAAATGTTCATTATTTTTTTTTTATAAATAGCTTATCGATTAAAACAAATGTTTAAAAATAATTAAATCGCGCGAATTAAAGTAGTAGGAATGTTTAAAGTGGAAATTGGCACTAAAAGGCTGGTAATTGGGTCATCCACCCTACAAAGCGTGAATATAAAATTTTAATCAGACGCGTGTAATCACTCTGGGAACTTGTAGCAAACTAAACGCGCGGCCAACGTGTGGACGCGGCGACCAAACTCTGCCAACAATCCTTTGATCTTTTGTAAAAAACCGACACCACACGGATCTCGCGCCAACTTGCGGGCCATC